GTCTTTGATTACTTTAACTAATTCATATTAAGAGAGATAAAACATTCTCTGCTAACAGATCTATTCCTTTTTCAAAGTTCGGCAACCATAAACCTACTAAGTTTCTATATAATGCCAACACTGTGAGTATAACAGGTTCAAAATACTTTACAACTCTTAATAGGCTGGCAACAATGTGTGACTGTTAACGCTGAATATACTTTTTGATATAAAAATCGCCATCAACAAATCATTCGTATGGTTCAAATGATCTAAACCATGATTATGGACCAGAGAGCTTCTTTCCATTTTTTCTAACAGTCTTATCAGGTCCTCTCCTGGTTTCGCTTTATTCGCTTGTCTAAAGTTGTGATTATACTTAGAGTGCGTCAACCTGCAAATTACCTCCAATTAAGCCAAATCGACAGAGAACCCATTATTGGTCTTATGCCGGAACAAATTCGCCATCTTGTGCGACTATCAAGGAGAAACTACACAATCGGGAGGCGAAGAAAAACAAATATGTGTGACAACTGCTAACTTTAAATTATGGTAACAAAAATCCGATTATCCAGTTATAGATCAATTATTGATTAATGCCTAGATAGCGAAACTCATCCTGTAACTCATCCAACTGTTCATTGGAGAATTAGAAATTTCGACCTGTAATTTTATTCGCCACATTTTGTATTACCACTAACAGCTCAACGCCGTCGACAATGTTTTGGCTAGCGCATTTTTTTCTTTATGACTTTGGTTAATGTTGCAATTTACATCAAAATAGAACGGTGAATCTCCTCCGCAGAGGCTATTAACTTTACAGTACGAATTCCAGTTTGTTAGAGACAATACCCCAACAGGAAATCGACCACACATTAGAATCGATGCCACGAAGAATGAGGGAATAAGTAAACAATATTAATAAAAATTATGTTTATATTTTGTTTTTGAGACTTTGTCTTGTGAAGTTTATATTAAGACTTGATACTGCTAGCTGAAGATTAGTTGTCGCTGAAAAAAGACTAGATATTGCTGGTGAAAGATTAGGTGGCAGAAAACTAGATACTTTTTGCGGAAGACTAAATACTGCTAATAGAGAGCTGGATACTGTAAATAGAAGACTATATACTGCTGATATAAAACTAGATATCAATGGTAAAAAACTAGTTATTATTTGCAGAAGTCTAAATACTGCGGGTTGAAGAGTAGATACTCCTGAGAGAAGATTAAATATCGCTGATAGAGAACTAGATACTGTTAGTGGAAGACTAGATATCGATGGCAGAACACTATATCGATGGTAGAGGACAAGATGTTGCCTGTAAAATACTATGTACTGCCAATAGAGGGAAAAAATGAAAGATCTCCCAAACTGCAATACTCCAATGTTAACCATAAAACATCAACCTAAATGGAAACAAGAATCGCCAATCAAAGGTAAAATTTAATTTGCGTACCTAACCAATTTTGAATTAAAAAAAAAAGATTATTTTTAATAGAAATAAACTTTGTGTAAAATTACACCCTAACATAATCTACATGTAATTTTGGCCGTGTTTCTTGCACGATTTAACCGACAGTGAAACTCTTTTTTATTCATTTTCTTGTATATTATCAAAGGAATAAAACTTTATAAAGTACGTGCGTAGTGGAATAGCATCATGCCCCACGAACACCTCGACGGGGTAACGTCGCTCGCTTCGCTTCCCTCTGGATGAATTTTATCTCTAGATTTTTTATAAACTCCAACGTGTTTATTTTTACATTCGCGAAATAACCACAATTCAAAATGATAACTTTACTTTCAGTCCAACTATTTATTAATTTACTTGAGCCCAATATGTAATCTTAACCTAGATATGTCTGTATGAATTTCGAAGTTGTTTATGAGTAGATGTTCTAAGAGGTTAGCGTTCAAGTTATATACAGGATGACTGGCCCATAAACGTGAATATTGAAATGCATTATTATAGAGCTCATTTGCAATTAATTAAATATATTGATTAAATATAATTGATTGACAAATATGCCTTTTACAAACTTGAAAAGATTAAAAAATTGTACATATACATTTAATACATTTAATCAAACTAGTTTTTTATGAGCGTCTATTTCAAAATTTCAATAATACATTTGACGTAAAAATTATGTTAAAATCTTCTCTGTTTTATAACTTTTCAAATGAGGTATTAAGCAGGACTAAATGTATAGATAGGGATAAGGATATAATAATAATAATAAGGATAAGGATTGGCGCGCGTATAATTTAGACAACTTACCCAAAGTTTAAAAAATTCAAAATCGATTACGTCTACTATTTATTTTAACTTATAGGAACTAAAAAACGTTAATTCATGAAAACAATAAATCCTGAGGTTCATTAATAGCATCATCCTACCTCAGTGCATCTCCTCCCATATACCACTTTCTACATTTTTTTGTTGAAATGCTGGTCTAAATGCCGCATCTTTGCAAATTCGTCTCTTGCTTCTACTTTAGTATTGTCTTCAAGATGAAATTAAGACATAACATATTCAAATTATTTTGAGTTTGAGGTATTGGTTTAGACTTAAACACATTTTGACTGTTTCTTTCATATGGTTCTAAGCGTAATAGCACACTTATGATGCTTTTATTTCTGATTTCTCTATTCTTAGGAGGAAATTTTCCTGATTTTCAAAACGATTAGTTTCATTCAAGTACATTTGTTGTTATCTTTTTCATCACCTTGGCCATTAAAAATTATATTATCAGGCTCGAAATGGTTATCATTTAAGTTTTCCTTTTTGAAGTACTTCTACCCTTGTTTTCTTTACACCCAAGACTATAAGAGGAATTTCGTCGTCAGAAGAAAAATCGTCATCACTCATTTCCATCAACATTTCGTAAGTTTATATCAGCAGGCGCTTAAAGTTGTGTTTAGGGAAAATTATTTAGGTTTGTGGAATCCTCCTCTCCAGAATCTTCATCAGTTTGAACTCCTCAAGCATTCTCTGGTGGATAAATAGTCAAAGAATGAACGTATTCTACCAATTCTTCGTCATCTTTTCACATTGCCAAAATTATTTTATTGAAAATGTTCTGCTCTTTCTATTGGTGTATAACACAGCGATTGCTCGTTTGTACAAGTACGTTTTTGTCCAAAAACTACTACATTCACACGTTTTAGCCACTTTTAAACCTAGTTCGGGTCAATAACTTTCTTATATGACAACCACGTTTTTGGCCAACAACTACTAACGTTATGGATTTTTCTGTTTCTGGTTAAGTCCCATTTGTGACTGTACCACTGTCTGTCACGACGAGCTGTGTCGTTATCTTTGTGATGTAATCACAAAGTCTCCTTATTTTTCAACGTATAATACGCTGGTGAGGAAAGAAAGTGGGATTGCCACTTAAAAAATTAACTTTTCGTCTATTCGAGATAGCTAAATTTGACCCAGTTTTAGATAGAGAGAGAATCAAGCTTCCTAATGGTGCATTTAGTTTTTCGCTATCTCTAGGCTAAAAAAGTAGATAGGAAATTACTGGTAAAAGTTTGTTACTGGGAGGTTTGTTGCCATCGTTGTACGGGTGGTTTAGACGCCACCTTAAACCGGTTCGTGAAAATATTTTGGTCGGTCTGATTTCGAATATGTTACATTTTTTAGTTGTTTAAAGAAAAAATCGGAACATTTTCACTGCCTCTTTTTTAAAAATAAAGTTTGCTTACCAAAACCGCAGATCAAATGCAAGGGATGAATTTGACCTATATCTAGTTATCCTTTAATCAACTTTGGATCTGATCCAATTTTCTTATTTCACTTATCATCCATTCAGGATTTTTTTTTCGGTTATAAATAACCCTTTTATAATATCATTTAAATTGCGAGGAAAAATTATATGTTACATTATTTAACTAAGACTTTTCTGCTTAGTATTAAAAAATAAGATCGATGCGAAACACGTGTGTAACTAAAATTTGTATTAAAATGTATCAGAAAAGTCAGTCGAATTCGGACTGATAACAAACCTGGACAAAAAATACAACCTACATATCGACCGCAATAAATTACACGAATTAGCATTGTAAATTCGAAAGCCATTTGGTAAGAGGGTAAATATCCTTTATCGTAACGCAACTGCAATGAAGTTGAATTTATGGATCGGCTTGATGAAGTACCATTCATATTTTTTTCACCCCTCAGATTTCAACTTTTAATGGTTGTTAATTCGATTAAAATTTACGTCTGCTAAAATGTTTTAATTGGATTTGCTAGTTTAATAACAATTTTAATTGGAAAAAAATTGCTTTTTTTGAGTTACAAATTTGAGACTAAGTATTGATTTTTATTAAACAAAGGGTGCTCCATATTTTAACCGCACAGATTGCCTCAATGCAGGGAAATTCGTTAAAATATTCCGAATGCTATGTTGGAAAAGAAGCAAATTGCTTTTATTGTTTCTTCCTGTTGAAGTAATAAACGCTAACAAGTTCGTGTATTATAATCAAAAAAGTTCCCGGCGCATCCACCAAAAAATATTTATTTTTTTGTAGTAATTTAGTAATCAAGGATTATAGGTGTTTGAGAGAACCGCTGAGACCTTAATTAAGTTAATCCCGAGCCGTTCATCTAATTGCAACTCCTCCACCGTTGGATGAGGAACGTCTTCTTCGTTGGAGCGGATCTTATATGAGAGACGCACTCCGAAACCACCACAATGGAAAACAAGAGAATCCGAAGGGTGGCGAAACACGAGCGTCCCAATTACGTGAGTGCCCTTCGTAACGTTACGTAACTTTGCTCTCTAACGTTAAAGGTAATTTTAGCGCGCGCGCTTAAATCAACCCAAGAAGACTTCAACAAATCGCAAAATTCAACAGTGCGATTTCACATTCGCGTAACCGACATTGATGTTTAAACTAAAATTACAATTACAACAATGTTTAGATTCAAATATGTTCAAGTTTTTAATTGTTTATTTAAAAATAAAATTTGAATTGTAGAAATAATTTATTAAAAAAAAATTTAATAACTTACAGTAAGTAGCTGTCGTGAGTCTATCAATGGTGTCCTGTTTTAGTTTTGAATTTTTCTTACCCATGGTCACCTGAAAGTTGATCGAAACCTCTTGTTAACACGCGTTACCGAACTTTGTTCGTTTATAGAGCAGGAGGCGACACGCACTAATACGAAATCCTGTCGGCTTCTGTACGAGTCCTGTCGGGGTGTTTTTGCCTCAAGCGCTTGCGCCCTTAGAGGTGCTTCTGGCAAAGGTCTAAGCGCCACTGGGTCCTTCGCGCCAAGTCCCGCGGATTGTCCTGACTAAGATTTATCACATTTCGTGTCTTCTGTGCGGGATACCACCACAGAAACTGAAATTATCCCGCTGTGGATGCCCGGCAAGAAATTCGAGACACCCACCGTCATTGTATAAATTTATTGGTACAATTTATCTTGCACCTTATAGTTTTCGTTTTCAGTAGTTTTGGTGACATCTATAATTTATTTGGTGATGATACTGAATGGTAACATGACTTTGGTCAAAAACTTTCATAAATAATATCAGGATTCGTTGAAATTAATATTATTGAAAACTAAAGATATCCTAAAATAAGATCTTAAAGTTAGGATAAAATCATAACTTTTTAAAAAATCGAGTTGGAATGATGAAATTTTCAATTTGTATTAAAAAGTAAGCAGATTCCAATAAAATGTCTAAAATTAATATTAAAATAAAGATGGAAATGTTCTGGGTGACGAAATCAAAAAATAGATAAATTTATCAAAAAATGAAGCTATATGTGTTATAAAGATCCATAACTTCATCAAAAATTGGTTTGAAATCATAATATTTTCCTTAATTGTAGTAAAAAGAGCGTAGATTTTGATGAAATGTACGAAATGATTATTAAAATTTATTTTAAAAAGATGCAAGTAATTTAAGCGAACGATATTCAAAAATGATGTATTAAAGTTAGGTAAAAATCATAACTTTTTAAAAAATCGAGTTGGAATGATAAAGTTTTCAGGATTTGCATTAAAAAGTATGTAGATTCCAATAAAACGTATGAAATTATTATTAAAATTGAGATAAAATTGTTTTGGGAGACTAAATCAAAACATAGGCAAATTCAACAAAAATGAGATTTTTTGTGTCATAAAGATCCATAACTTCTTCAAAACTTGATTTGAAATCATAATATTTTCCTTACTTACCCCAAAAAGAGCGTAGATTCTGATGAAATGTACGAAATCATTATTAAAATTAATTTAAAAAAGATAAAAGTAATTAAAGTGAAGGATATCCAGAAGCAAAATAATTAAATTAGGAAGAATCATAACTCTTGGAACAATCAAGTTGGAATGATGAAATTTTCAGGATTTATTTTAAAAAGTATGCAGATTTCAATAAAATATTTAAAATTATTATCAAAATTGAGATAAAAATGTTTAGGGAGACAAAATCAAAACATAGGCAAATTCAACAAAAATGAGATTTTTTGTGTCATAAAGATCCATAACTTCTTCAAAAATTGATTTAAAATTATAATATGTTTGTTGATTGTAGTAAAAAGACCGTAGATTCTGATGAAATGAACGAAATCATTACTAAAATTAATTTTAAAAAAATACAACTAATTGAAGCGAAAGATATCCAAAAATAAGATATTAAAGTTAAAAAAAACACAATTTTTTTAAAAAACGAGTTGTAATTAAGAAATTTTCAGGATTTGTATTAAAAACTATGCAGATTCCAATAAAATATTTAAAATTATTATCAAAATTAAGATAAAAATGTTTTGGGAGAGAAAATCAAAAAATAGGTAAATTTATCAAAAATGAGGTTTTTTTGTGTCGTAAAGGTCCATAACTTCTTCAAAAGTTTGTTTGGAATCGTAATATTTTCCTT